AAAAAATATAAATGAGAAAAAATAAATAAAATCATTTATTTTTGCCTTCTTATTTGACTGATCACCCCAACTATTCTTCTCTCTATTATTCACGACAGACAACCATTTACCAATTATGAGAAACTTTTTGGATGGTGAAGTTTGGTACTGTTAAATATTTAGAATAGTTGTCATTATCAACGTTAAACTATCTTTGATTTATCTATTGCTTAATATTAATTTTTAATAAAACGTTTATTCGGTTATGGTTAATAATATGATATATAAATAATAGCTCATCATAAAGAGGATGAAATAGTCCATATCTTCCATAAAACTCGTTATCATTTGGTTTTCGACAATGTTTTCTTTTTCGTCTAACACGGCATCGTATTAAGATACAATTTTGAATAATGCTCATTACAAAGATGATTAAATTATGAACATTTCTTTCGCTAGCTATATTTTTAGTTCCGATTTTTAGTTTTTGAGATATTTTTAATCCAAATGCAAAAACACCTCAATTAATCGACCACAATCGACTTTGTCCGAGCGTTACAAATTTGATTGATAGAAATAGAATTTGACTGAAGTGTTCGAGACGATGTGTGATTGTATGTGATAAAGAGATTTCTTCCATGTTATTTGAAAGAAATTAAGTTTTTTTCGGCTAAAGGGAACTGTTTAATATATTAGGAGAAAAATAATTTGATAAAAGAAATGAACTTTTTCTGTCGTTTGAGGAATGTTCTTTAACGCATTTAGGGATAATAAATTGAAACTATATAGCATTTCTTTTTTTATAAAAAAAATTAATTAATATATATATATCATCAAATCCAATGATTGACCACTCATTTTGAAGATATTCTCTTCCTTTACATGCGAAAAATAGTCCTATACCCCCAAAATTTGCTTTATTTGCGAATAACTCAAAAAGTATGATATTTTTCTTGATGGTACCCATGATTATTAAAAATATCATTAAATTACCTACAAAACAAAAACAACCCCAATAGGATAATTATTTACAAAGACACAGTCCATTAATTTTGATATAATTAATTATTTCTTCATCTTTAAAAATACTGCATTTATTATCCAACTACACTTTTTGTCTTGGTTGATATATTAATTTTATTTCTTAAATTTTATATTTTTTTAATAATTTAGAAAATGTCATGATTGAGGTTTTTTTTTTTGGCTTTTTATTTATTACCTTTATTATCTTTTCAGTCAGTGTTGAAAAATAGGCCCTAGTATAGGAATTTTTACAAATATTTTGGTCTACTATGTTAAATGGAATATTGTAATTGACCAAGAAAAAACAATTAATTTCTGTATGAATAGGTGTTTACTGCTATAAGAGAGTAATTTTTAGACTTTTTTAATATTTATTGTTGACTGGTATATGTTCGTTTTTAATGTTATTATGGTTTTATAAATAATGTCTCCTTGTAAATCCTCTTAAGGAATTTTGTATATATACTTTTTCAGATGAAAATTCACAATATATGTAATATCAGATGTATCCCTGAAGATGCCTGAAGAGGCGAAAATTTGGATAAATTTAAAATAAATTATTTTCACTGTTGAGACTAAAAAGGCCTTTTTTACTTAAATTAAGTTTTTATTTCGTTGAAGGATTGTTCTTTAATTTATTTAGGAATAATAAATTGAATATATATATATATATATATATATATATATATATATATATATATATATATATATATATATATATATATATATATATATAGAGTGGCTCTTCCCTTCCTTAAGAAGACAATATTTCCTAGGCACATTCCTTTATCAAATTCAATTCAAATGTAATTCCCTCCCGATCAAAATTCGGCAGGCCCCCTGCCTATACACATTCAAAAACCTCCTATTCCAATTCCTGTTCCAAAAACAGTCAGATACCAGCTAACTATTAATACTATACATGTATTGTGTAGCAATCATATAACCATATGATAATACATGGTAAGAGATAGTACATGCATTTCCTACTATCGACGTAGGAATTTAATACATCTATTTTTTTACATTTTTTTTTTATTCATTTATAACTATATATATGAACTTTATAACTAAATATATATATATATATATAAACTTTACTTGTATATATATATATATATATATATATATATATATATATATATATATATATACAAGTAAAGTTTTTTTATGAAATGAACTTATTCCATCTCCTTTTCGTTCTTCATTTCTCAAAGTGTATGTTTATGTTGTTCAACCCTTATATATAGTTTTGTTCATAGTTTCAAGTGATTCGTTCATAGTTTTAAGTGTTTTGTTCATAGTTTTAAATGTTCTGTACATAGGTTTATCTGTATTGTATATAGCTTGTTCACCTAAGGTTTTCTTTACTTTTTAGTTTATTTTATCAATTTTATTTATTGTTTCAAACTTTTGGGCCAGTAGTATTCTATTCTTTTGTACAATTTTGTTATTCTAAAGGGATTTAGTCACAGAATAAAGTATTTTCTCTCTCTCTCTCTCTCTCTCTCTCTCTCTATATATATATATATATATATATATATATATATATATATATTATATATATATATAATAGTAAATGAATAATTGTGTTAAATAATTAAATACATATATGCTTTAAATTTTAACTGAAATTATTTTATCCAGTAGAAGTGACAGTAGTGGTTGTATTGATAACAGTTCTAATCTTTGCGGTCGAACATAACCTATCTTGAGGCTAACCTTTTCATAGTTATATACTAATCGATACGGAAAATTATTCCAGACAATTGCATAAATAATTAGTTGTGTATTAATTATTTAAAGTCTAAAGATTTATATTAAATATATAATATGTTGTTATTAGATGGATTTATAAAAAAAAAAAAATAATTAATTAAAATAAAGTTTAAAGTGTTGTATAAGCGAGAACACTGAGTGAGCAAATTGGAGCTGAGGCTAGCTGGTCCGATTTCGCTCAACAATCGATAGATGTCGCAGCTTTCCATGTACCACTTTGTTGTTTCGTGTTATTTAGAAGAAATTAACTATAATTATTTATTTTATTTATTGAATTTATATTTAATGTATTTAGAATAATAAATATAATTGGAAGAAATTAAATTACATAACAGTGTTTATAATGGAGTAAATGGGTGAGGGTTAATGATTAGGAAATTTGTTCCATGTCATTTAAAATAAATTAACTTTTTTCTGTTTGTTTAACGTTTAATATAAGATGTTTAATGTATTTGGAGTAGTAAATTTGTTTGTGGTAAAAATAATTTGATTAAAGTGATTAAGATTGAGTGGATAGGAGATTTGTTCCATGTTATTTAAAATAAATTAACTTATTTTTTTTCAGTTAAGGTTAAACAATGTAAGTTGTTTAATGTATTATGAGAGTAAGTTTGTTTATGGTTTTTTTTTAATGTTTAAGAGATTTATTCCCTGTTATTTAAATGAATTTAACTCTTTCTTTCAATAAAGTTATGGTAGAGTTAGTAAATTGAGTTGAAAGATTGAAACAATTCAATTAAAGTGTTTGAGTTAATGATTAAGAGATTTGTTTCATGTTATTTAAGAGAAATTAACTCTAATGTTTTTTTGGTTAAGGGGAGTTAATTTAACGTATTCAGTGTAGTAAATGTTATTGAAAGAAATAAAATTTGATTAAATTGTTTGAGATGATATGGTATATGTATAAGAGTTAATGATAACGAAATTCATGTTATTCCGAAGAAATCAATTTTAAGTGAAGTTAATTTAATGTATTTATTGTAGTAACTTTTGATTTTGTATTTGTATGAGCATCGATGTTTAGGAGATTTCTTCCATGTTATTTAAAATAAATTAATTATTATTTCCAAGGTTAAAGGTGCTCATTTCAGATATTTACTACAGTAAATTTGTTTGATAGAAATAAAATTTGATGTGAAAAAGTGTTCGAGATGATGTGTGAGTGTATATGATTAAGAAATTTGCTCCATGTTATTTTAAAATAATTATGTTTTTTTTTCGGTTAAGGGAAATCGTTTAACATATTCAGTGAAGTAAATTTCATAAAAAAAAAATAAAATATGATTAAAGTGTTTGAGACATTGTGTCAATGTATGTGATTAAGAGATTTGTTTCATGTAATCTAAAAGAAATTAAGTTGTTTTTTTTGTTAAGGGAAATCGTTTAAAGTATTAGAATTGTAAATTTTATTGAAAGAAATAAAATTTGATTAAAGTATCTGAGATTATGTGGTATATGTAGCAGAATTAATGATAAGATTTCTTTCATGTTATTTAAAATAAATTAAATATTTTTTTCTGTTTAAAGAAGTTAATTTCACGTATTTACTATAGTAAAATTTGATTGATAGCAATAAAATTTGATTTAAGTGTTTGAGACGATGTGTGAATGTATTGATTAAGAGATTTGTTCCATGTTATCTAAAAGAAATTCCGTTTTTTTTTTGTTGAAAGAAATTGTTTAACGTATTTAGTACAGTAAATTTTATTGAAATAAATAAAATTTTATTGAAGTGTCTGAGATGATGGTGGTATATGTAGGAGAACTATTTCTTTCAAATTTAAAGGAGGTTATATAACGTATTCACTGTAGTAAATTTTATTCATATAAATAAAATTTGATTAGTGTTTAGACGATGTGATTAAGAGATTTGTTTCATGTTATTTAACATAAATATTTTTCGATTAAGAGTTAATTTAACGTATTTAGTGTAATAAATTTTATTCAAAGCTATTAAATTTTGATTAAAGTGTTTGATATGATATGGTATATGTATGAGAGTTGATGATTATATTCATCCCATGCTATTTCACGCATTTACTGTAGTAAATTTGATTGATAGAAATAAAATTTGATTTGAGTGTTTTAGACGATGTGGTATAAGAGTTTATGATTAGGAAATTTGTTTCATGTTATTTAAAAGAAATTAACTCATTCTTTAACGTATTTATGGATAATAAATTGAATTGAGACAAATAATTAAAGGCGTTGAAGTTGAATTAGTTCCATGTTATAAGAGATCTACTCTTTTTCTTTTAGTTAAGTGATGTGTTTAAACTTTTTTTTTTTTTAATGATTCTTAATCGGGTTCTATCGAGGTGGTGTTGTTGCAGGTCGTGCAACACCTGATGTTTGGGTACTGTACTCCTGAGTCCGGAGTATAAGTAACAAGAAGTAGAGTACTCTACAAGAACTGTTAGGGGTGGAAATATCGAAGAGGAAACGGAAGAAGTGTGGAAACCGGGAGGTCCCCTGAGCCGGGCGCCATGATAGCTGTTTGTAGGTTATCAGTATCGATTCTGCCCCAGAGAGAGTGAGTGAGGGGTAGATGGCGCACATACTCATGTATATGTACCTGGGCGTTGTTTATGTATATGTTTAGTTGTATGAGGGTATGTGTGGTTGAGAGGTTAAGTTATGGGGGTGGTTTTTGTCTGTGTGTGTATAGAGGGGGATGCGAGATAGGTTTGTCTATGTGTTGAGGGGGATATGTATGTATAGGTAGTATATATATATATACATAGATAGTAGATATATATATATCTGCTAGGTTCTAATGGAGATGGCACTGACCTTCGCAGATGTATCCCTGCTGTATGATACCCCATATGACTTCGGCGCAGTGGTGACAGTAGGTGGAAGGCAGCTTGTGGAAGGTCTTCTTGGCGAAGGTGTGACCAGCAGAGTCGAGAGAGCAGGTCCTGCCTGCCATGTTGGCTCTAGGTGACGTCCCTGCTTCCCATGCTGAGCGCTCATCACTGCCTCCTCACCGCCATCCTGGCACCATACTGTTCTGCGCACTCGCCTCTTCTTATTGACTGCCTCATCCCCTCCCCTCCCAACCCTTCCGAGCTATCGATAGTTCATATCTCGAGTTTCGATTCAACTCGGATCGATTCGCTCTATACGACATGAAAATATATATACATTAAAAAAGAAATTAAACATTCACCTTAAACACTCTAATTCTGAACTAATTCCTCCAGAGTGGCTCTCTATTTCTTTAAACCTTTAACGATACCTTTATATCGACAGCCACACTGTACAATCTTATAAGCAGAGACCGGATTTTTATGCAGTAAAAACCTCCAAAATATGCCATATGTAGACCAAGACCAGGACAGGTTAAAAAAAATCGATTTTTCAAATAAAAATTAAGGAAAAATAGTACTAATAATACTTAAAAATCTTAGTTACTATATGATCATAATTTGTATAACCAAATTCTTTTGCATTTAACTCCTCTAATTTGTCATTCGAGCTTACTTAGGTTTCTCCTATCTAAAAAAATACAGTAATATTTGTATAGTAATATGCTAATAAGTAACTGCAAGACTTATCTCGGTCTCGCATTTGGGCAACACTAGAAATAGCCCAAAACATGCAGACACTCCACAAAAAAAACTAATATTTGCTGAGGTGTGTTCGATTTCCTTAAAACTCTAATGATACCTGTATATCCACAGCCACACTGTAAAATCTTATAAGCAGAGACCGGATTTTTATGCATTAAAAACCCACAAAATATAACTATATAATATGCAATAAATTGGAAAGAAATCGTCCAAGACCGGCAGAGACTGAACAGGCATCATTATAATTGTTTGATACTATACTTGGGTTGATGAGTGAAAGTTTTGTGATACGCGCACTGCATCAGATTTTTTAATCTGGTGTTCCTGTCCTTTTGTGAATAGATAGAAAAAGGGATGCAAAATGGTACCATAGCAATCTTACACATCATGCAATACCATCTAGGTAGTGTTGCCCAAAATCGGTCTTGGTCTTGCACTTTGCAATACCAAGACCAATGCGGCTTAACTGTTGCAAGAACAAGACCAGGACTTGTAAAAAAAATCGATTTTTCAAATAAAATGCAAAATAGTACTAATAATACTTAAAAATCTTAGTTACTATATGATCATAATTTGTATAATCAAATTCTTTTGCATTTAACTCCTCTAATTTGTCATTCGAGCTTACTTAGGTTTCTCTTATCTAAAAAATTACAGTAATATCTGTGTAGTAATGAGCTAATAAGTACTGCAAGACTGTTGCGAGACTCTTGAGCAAGACCAAGACTGAATTTGCAAAACCAAGACTTGTCTCGGTGTCGCATTTGGGCAACACTAGAAACAGACACTCTACAAAAAAAGTGCAAAACATGCCTAAAGAAGTCTTGACCTCAAAAAATTAAACATTCATCTTTAACACTGTAATTCTGAACTAATATTTGCAGAGGTGTGTTCGATTTCCTTATAACTCTAATGATAACTGTATATCGACACACTGTAGAATCTTACAAGCAGAGACCGGATTTTTATACAGTAAAAATCCAAAAAATATGCAATAAATTGGATAAAAATAGCCCGAATGGAGCTATACTAATTGAATATGGAAGGTTATTGAATATGTAGTCAACTAATTGAATTGTGTTTCCATATAGATTAAAATACCTCAAAAACTAAAAATCTGACTTGCATACTGTAAGAGAGGGAATTATTTAGCACTAATAAATATTTGTATAATAAAATATTAAATATTTAAATATTTGTATAATAAAATATTTGGAGAATAAAATATTTGTACAAATTGTTTTGCTAAGACCTATTTTTAAACGCTGACTGGAAAGATAATGAAAGTAATAAAGATAAAACAATTCCCAGATCATGGGATTTTCCAAATTATTATAAAAAATAAAATGTAAGAACAACCAAATGTTTTTAAGAAATAATAAAGTTAATTTATCAGCCAGGAAAAAATGTGTAGTAGACTATTCTAATCCTAAATGCAATATCTTTAAACAGGAAGATATTATTAAGTATACCAAAACTAATGGACTGTATCTTTGTTAATAAATTTCCGATTTTTACGATTTTTTGTTTGTTTTGTAGGTAATTTAATAATCTTTCGAATTATCAGAGGTACAATCCAGAAAAAAAAAATGCATATCTTTTTAGTTATTCCCAAATAAAGTTTCTTTTCCTTTATAACTTTTTTTCTAGATTTCCAGAAATTTTGGAGGGATAGGACTATTTTTCTCATGTGAAGGAGAAGAATATATTCAAAATGAGTGGTCAATCAGATGAAGAATTGATGAAGTTATGACGTACCGGCAAAAAAAACACCTAATAATAAAATAAAAGCACCTAGAAATAATACATAGGATTATGCAATTGTGTGAAAGGTTTTCGAAAAAACTCAGGTATGTGCTTTAGACCACAAGATAGAAGCACGGGCGGATCTACGGGTGGGGGCTTTCGGGCTGAAGCGCCCCCCCCCAAAATGGAAAAATATAACCATGTTTTATGGGGAAAAAAAAATTAAAAAATATATCTTAAAGTATTATTGTTCGTGTAATTACATTTAAAAGTACTTAAGGAATAACTTAAACACCATTTCATATAGGTAGTTAGTTTCTTTCTGTTTTTCCAAAGTAATTATCGTTATTTTTATGAAAAAAAAAGGTTTCGGGCTGAAGACCTCCCTCCAAAATTAAATCCTGGATCTGCTAGTGGATAGAAGTGAAAACATCAACAAGGCGAGGTTAATAATATGAAAAATAAATAATAAATAATAGCTCATTAAGAGTATGAAATGCTGAATAATTCTCGCGCTTACAGTATGCAAGTTAAATTTTTAGTTTCTGAGATATTTTAATCTATATTTTCAATAAAACTCATTATCATTTGGCTTTCGGCACCATTTTTTTCTTTTTAGCTTCTCTTACACGGCTTCGAGTTACAATTTTACAAGATATAATTTTTAATAACAGCTCATTATAAAGACGATGAAATGCTCGCTTACAGTATACAGGTCTGATTTTTAGTTATATTTTAATCCATCTCTACAATAAAACTCGTTATCATTTGGTTATATGCAAAAACACTTCAATTTTTAGCTTCTCTAATACGGCGTTGCGTTTAGATAACTTTTTGAATAATAGTCCATTAGAGAGAGGATGAAATGCTAAATAATTCCCTCCCTTACAGTATGCAAATCCGATTTTTTATGTTTGAGATATTTTAATCCATATGTAAAAACACTTCACTTAGTCGACTCCAGCGAACTTCACCGAAGCGTTACACGTCGGAGATCTGACTGCTCAATCTAATTCACTCTCCACAAAAACAGTGCAAAATGTTTTCACCTCAAAAAATTAAACGTTCATCTTTAACACTATAATTCTGAACTAATATTTGCAGGGTGTCTTCGATTTCTTTAAACCTTTAACGATACCTTTATATCGACAGCCACACTGTACAATCTTATAAGCAGAGACCGGATTTTTATGCAGTAAAAACCTCCAAAATATGCCATATGTAGACCAAGACCAGGACAGGTAAAAAAAAAAGATTTTTCAAATAAAAATTAAGGAAAAATAGTACTGATAATACTTAAAAATCTTAGTTACTATATGATCATAAATTGTATAATCAAATTCTTTTGCATTTAACTCCTCTAATTTGTCATTCGAGCTTACTTAGGTTTCTCCTATCTAAAAAAATACAGTAATATTTGTATAGTAATAAGCTAATAAGTAACTGCAAGACTTATCTCGGTCTCGCATTTGGGCAACTCTAGAAATAGCCCAAAACATGCAGACACTCCACAAAAAAAACTAATATTTGCTGAGGTGTGTTCGATTTCCTTAAAACTCTAATGATACCTGTATATCAACAGCCACACTGTAAAATCTTATAAGTAGAGGCCGGATTTTTATGCATTAAAAACCCACAAAATATAACTATATAATATGCAATAAATTGGAAAGAAATCGTCCAAGACCGGCAGAGACTGAACAGGCATCATTATAATTGTTTGATACTATACTTGGGTTGATGAGTGAAAGTTTTGTGATACGCGCACTGCACCAGAGTTTTTAATCTGGTGTTCCTGTCCTTTTGTGAATAGATAGAAAAAGGGATGCAAAATGGTACCATAGCAATCTTACACATCATGCAATACCATCTAGGTAGTGTTGCTCAAAATCGGTCTTGGTCTCGCACTTTGCAAGACCAAGACCAATGCCGCTTAACTGTAGCAAGACCAAGACCAGGACAGGTAAAAAAAATCGATTTTTCAAATAAAAATTAAGGCAAAATAGTACTAATAATACTTTAAAATCTCAGTTACTATATGATCATAATTTGTATAATCAAATTCTTTTGCATTTAACTCCTCTAATTTGTCATTCGAGCTTACTTAGGTTTCTCTTATCTAAAAAATTACAGTAATATCTGTATAGTAATAAGCTAATAAGTAACTGCGAGACTCTTACGCAAGACCAAGACCTGAACATCTAGAGCAAGAATTTGCAAGACCAAGACTTGTATGTGCTTTAGACCACAAGATAGA